GGATTGAGGATTACAAAAAGGTGGAAAAGAAGAGGGCAAAATGTCAGTAGAGAGCACATTTAAAAGAATCATCTATAGATCACAGGTCAACAGCAGCTTGAGCTGAAATATAGTTCCATGAACTTTTGAAGCAGACATTTAGGTCCCTCATTACAAGGCACTTTACCCACTGCATAATAGAATTTATTGTCTCCACGTTGGTAATTCCAACACTCATTTAAATCATAGTTCATAAAAGCTGCTGGAGTGTTGCAAATCTCTCAAATTAACATAGTAAGTACATTAATTTTGCAAATAACAGGGGGACATGAAGATTCTTTTAACACATCAGAAATCAATTCCTTTTACTGGAATTACTTCCTGAAATGCTTCCATATTTTCTATGGGACTGTACCATTCCATTGTACGCTACAAACATTATGCTGATCACAGAGATAATGCGGATTAAAAAGCATAAATCCTGTTCCCACTGTCTTGTTTTAGATGAATTTATTCCTCTCTCACTTGAATGTGAATTTTGACAGCTTAAAGGGCTGGAAAATGCCTTCAATTGTCAACATAAAGATTTTCATGACCTTTTCAATGCAATCAGGGAACAATAGAGCACTACTCTGCTCTTGCAAAGCCAGAATGTAGGGATTTTTCACCATGTACAGACTTTTACAAACTTAAGGTTACTCATTGAAACAAACAGGATTCACAAATATATTGGGTCTATGCTGATGTATCTTAGGTCTTCTGCCTTCCAGATCCATTAGAGCTCGGCAAAGCGTGAGTTCTGCAGTTTTAATGGACTTTATTAATAATGCCTGTTTCAGAAACAGAGCAATCCTCATTGTTGAGCCAGAACCTGTAATGACTTGTACATATTTGGAGAATGGTTTTTTTATTCATGAGAGATTGGGTTCATTTGTACAAGAACAAAGCTATGTAAACTGCCAACATAAATTCAGCTATCCATTGCATATGTGCAAATTTTAAGGTGTGAATCAGAAGACTGTGGTACAGTCAACAAAAATGGATCATAAAATCCTCTTCTATTGTCAGGAATGAGCCCATTTGTTCTGAAATATTTCATTTGTATATAAATAGGAAAAATGCCAGGTTGTAGGTTATAGGTAACACAGGTAAGGTACATAGTACTTGTGGCTGTCATATACTGCTTATACTGCAGCTTTTCTTTCTTCAGATGGTTTCTGCCTAGTGACTCCAGACATATGACACAGAAATGTTAAATTAATAAGAAAAAACTTATCAACAGCTGCAAAATTAAAAATAATTCTTCTTACTTAAATGATATAAATCTTTTCCCAATTCCATCTTGGTTGGAATAGATGTTATCAAAGTTTATTGTAATAGTAACTATTCAGTGTTCTCTCTTAAATAAATTCACCGAAATATTCTCGAGACTACCTGAATCACAGAAATTATTTCCACCAGTCATAGGTATAAAGGGAGAAGATGAATATTAAAACAAAATATGTTTAAAAATTTGAATGTTTGATATTTTAAACGTTTTTGTAATGATTTGATGTTCATGATTTATTTTCCATATGTCAAGTGACTTGATTTTTGAAGACTTCAAGTTACTTTACCTTACATATTTAAATATCTTTGAAGACATTGCTGATATAGGGTATTTCTTGTGCCAGTGCAAGCAGGTATGTCTGTGAATGGCAATATTTTGCTGCAGTTGTCTGGGCGGTACTCTTGGAATAAATACCTTCAGAGAGCTCAAATTCTTCTGTTATTTATTGCTACAATATGCCTCTGCTAGGTGGATGCTTGCCAGATTTCTAACTTCTTCTAAACCAGTCATATTAACATTAAAATAAGCTTAAGAGAAAAACTTATACATTAATTTTGCCCTACTTTAGAAATTGTGGGCACAATTGTTGGAATAATACAGTATGTCTGTGCAAATCAACTGAAGACTGTCTGATCCAAGTGACAAACTTTACTGTAAATAAGTCGGCAGCTCTGCCATTACCTAGTTCACTGACCTTTGATCAACACCTGAACTTTTCTCTGTAGCTACCATTAACTGAAGAAATTAGGAAAGGACTGACTTTTTCTATGCATTAGTACACAATCCTGCATAATGCAACCCTGATCAAGGTGACATCTCTAGATACTGTCAAGACTTGCTCATAAGTGAACTATTTCTAGGGACTCAAGTAGATACTGTTTGCAATTTTGTGTGAAGTAATGGCTAAGATGCTCTATTCTATTTTAGTGTTAAAATAAGAATATAAACAGAACAATACTGATTGTTCCTGATAAACTGACTGTTGAATTTGGAACATTTATAACAGAATGATTGATAAAATCACAGCTTAAGTGGGACTTTCATAATGGTTCAGTATTTCATTTGACGAGACTGAAGCATTCCAGGATTTGTCTAGTAAACTTGTTACATAGGAAAACACATGAAGATTTTCCTAAAGGTTAATTTAGGCTTACTTATACTCTGAGTGTCATTTTGCAAAGACATTATTAGAAACCTGCGTATTTTGTATAAAAATGGAGCATAATGGAGTTACCTGCAAATATGACTTGATGCAATGGAATTTTTCTACAGTCTGAAGATTTTAAATTGTAAGTTGAATTTTGTGGGAATTTAAAAAAAAAATATATTAATTCCACCCTCCCTTTGAAATAAAATCCCTGTTTTTTAATCTTCAGGAGATTTTAACTTTTGCTAATTGTATGAAAAGCAAGTACAAGTTGTCTTGTACTTGTGGCAATATGTTGTTATGACAACTGGAAGTTTCTTTGTGTAGAGATCTGGAAGAGATGATCATTTCTGGGACAAAGCAGACAACATTTTTCAACATTTTTAGTACTAAAGACACGTGCAAAGTTTCTGCATATCTAAAATTATGCCTTTTGATACATTAACAATAATATCTTCAGCAGATATCTACATTAGAAAAATCAAACAAGTATAAAGGTTTTCCACATTTTGAGATTCATAAGAAAGCTTTAAGTTATTAATGAAAAAAAGTAAATCTGATTTTTAAACAATATTGAGGTATATTTTAATTACAGTTAAGACTGATTCCAGAGCCTTTTATAGCCAGTGAGTAGAATCCAAGATTTTGGATTCTAGAATTTGTAAGAATAGTGATTCATTTCAAAGTACTCAGTTTGCCCTACAGATGTGTATGTCCCTCAGCTGAAACTCCACTCTTAAAATAGCTATATCCCAACTCTCCCAATGCCCATTCTTGTTCAGATATACTCTTCCCTCCTGCCCTTAATGAAAATTTTATCGCATCTTATCCACTTCTCGTCACACTTAATATAGTTAATTTTGAAGTGTTTTATGGGACCTTTCAGTTTTGCACTTCAATATATCCCTTTAAATAATACAGATGTTCCCCTCTGTGTTTCTTTTAGCGGACGGTTACACTTTTTTTTCTGTAATGGTTGCAAAATACAAATTTGCTTTTCATACAAGGTTGTCTAGTCCAGTGTTATCAGCAAGACAGTGTTAGCTTAAATTCTTCTCAGCATTGTTCTAGTTATTCTCCAGAAACTCTATCACATTTCCAAATTAATAGGAATAATTTCTATTTCTAGGATGCTAAATATTACATCCACCCTTTTTGTTTCCTTTCAGAACAAACAATTTCTAATGGAGCAGAGATTCAGTCAGTGTTGTCTGTATTCATTTTGCCTCACCAGATTCCACTTGAAAGGTTTCAGTCCTAAGGAAAATGCTCTAACTCTGTAGGATCCAGCTGTCTTCAGGACCAGTAGAATGAAAGTTCAGTTCTTTTATTTTAATGTGTGACTGTTAATGGGAATAAGTTAAAAGCTTAAAATGAGTTCTTCCTTTCTCAGTTGTTGGTAGTTCTGTATCATGCAATGACAAATCAAACGTTGAACCTGTCCTGTCACTGTTAAATCAGTCTGGATTCTTAACAAATGGCAGGTTTTATTAGCATGAAAAGAGGTGAAAAGGTACTGTGGTGTCTTACAGACCAAAGACATTTAAGAAACTCGTGCTTCTATGCAGGAATCTGCATAGCGGACAGTGCATCCATTTAAATTCCTCTAAATTCTCATTAATCTACTTTTCCAAAATGATGAGGAAAACATTATCTGTTTTACAACTACAGAGTGACCAAACACAATGCAACAAACTGCTGTGTCATCTTTCTAGTCAACAGTAGTAAGTCTGATTCCTTTAATTTACAACTGTATACTGGACAGAGCTGTGCTAGGCCTGTAAGAAGTGTGGAGCATTAAAAACATTTTTTACTATGAATCCTTCAGCACCCTGAAAACAGAGCTATTGTTCTCTGACAAATGCTACAGCTGCAGTAAAATTAGAGACAGCCACCCAATTAAAACGCAAGCTATATTTATAGCTTTAAAAATAAACTAAAAATTAAGGAAGAGAAAAATGTAAGCACAAAGTGTTTTTATGTACCAATTTTAAATTTCTTTTAAAGCAGTTCAACAGTCCATTTGACACAGGTCCTTACTGCATTCGGTACCATATTGTCAGAGGAACTTCCATTACTGTGTAAGCAGCCAAATTAGTAAGAATTGTAATCTGTTGGCTGTTGTGTTGTCAGCTCCCTACCAGTAGAAAATTGCACTCTGGACACATGTTGCTGTCTATATTTTTAAAGTATTTCAAAGAAATATAAAAGGTACTTGTAACATTAGATAATGAGATTTGGTTACCCTTAATTACCAAGGGACTTTTTCCCTTTCATTCTCCCATGAAGAGAAATTTTACTCTTGTTGAGAAAAGCCAGAGAAATGAAGCTGCAGAGTTAGACCAAGCTTCAAAGCATATATACCATAGTTTTTTCTCCATGTTGGAAGTTCTTAGCACTAAAAGCTTGTGATGTCACCTGCCTGAGAAATTTTTGTCCCCATTCAAGAAAGATAAAGCTTCCTACCTAACAGAAGGTAATAGCATTTGTGAATAACAGTTTCTTTATCAGATTTGTGTTTAGTGACCAACCGCGGCTGCGTACCTGTACTGTGAATGAGTCCTCAAAATGCTTCCTATCCTCTGCCAACATCATCTTTTTCTTGCTCAGTTTCTGCTTTAGCCAGCTGCTCCATGAGCTCTTCTTCACACGCTGTACCGTTTTTGTAGCCGTGCTGTAGGATGGGTAGAGCTGTAGGTCATCTGCATTACACTAACATTTGATTCTCTGTCTCCAGTTCACTTTGTAGTTGTTTGGTGAAAAGACAGTAAAATAATTGATCTTTCTGAGAATACACAGATGAAGAGTCTTAGTTTCTTCCACTGCTCCTTGAAAATCCGTATTTTTAGGGAAGTGTCAAATCCTTTGAGCCTAGTCTTTAAACCTGTCCTTCTTTGAGGTAGAATGTGTTATGTGGCTTTCCAAATTTGTTATGCTATTTTCCCTCTCCCTTTTCTCTTCTTATTTACCACCCCTATTATTATTATTATTATTATTATTATTATTATTATTATTATTATTATTATTATTATTAAAAAGAGGGTGAAAAATATAAGGAAATTTAAGACAGTAGACAGGAAAAGTGAGTGGAAGAATGGAATTAGTTTCTCATGGAATAAAAATACGCTTCCTTTTTCTTCAGGGGGAATGAAAATATTTCCCACCCATTAATTAAACTATATTTTAAAATTAATGATATTTTATATACCAGTTTATTTTACTTTAATCCATTCCTAAATTGATACTGGATGCCACAGTCTGCAAGGCCTTGCTGTCTCTGGAGCCATATACTGTCCCTTTCTGATGTGATACCACCTTACTGGTGAATTAAAGCTACCCAAAGACCTCCCCATTGGTGCTTCCAGGAGTATTGAAGAGATCTTTCAGTACAGCTCTGTTTTTCTTGTTATCTTTTTTTATATCTGCAGGAATATGTAATTCTGCTAATTAAATGTTAAACATAGAAGAAAGTGTAAGACTGTAAGGTAAGTCTTTGTTAAACGTATAAGCCACAAAGGAATAAGATGTTGCTATGATATTCTCTCTTTTTTTTTTTTTTCCTCCGTGTCCAGTGAGTTTATTCAAATTAGTGAATTATGTCTTAGGCTAAGTTGTTCAAGAGCATAATACAAAAATTCACAGTTCTTTGTAGCAGGTCAAATCCCTAGGTACTTTGACTTTCATAAGAACGATTGACCTGTGGTAGGTTTGTGGGATTTCATCAGATAATTCTTTTGCAAGATTAGGAAATCACGAAGTTTAAGGAACGGGTGAGCTTTTTCACCTAGGCAATGCTATCTCCTTAATCATGAAGTCACCATTTCCCCTTGAAGGCCTCCCAAATGCAGTTCTCTTCCTCTTTCTCACCCTAGCAGTCTGCCTCAGAAATAGTTACCAATGATTGCCTACTCTAGTTGATAAATAGAAATAGCTGTGGAAATGATCTAAGCATGTTAGTGTGATTACTACTCACTGATGTCTCCTTTTGTCTTGTAGGGATGGTACCATAAATTTTACTGTTTACGGATCTTGTTATAACTATGCTGTGTTTTCCTGAGATTTTGGGAAAGGCTGTGGGATGTCAGCCTAAATCTCTCCTTTACTGGCTTCTAATTTATTAGGCTCTTCAGAGCTGGCCCTTGGGAAGCTTAATGTTGCTTGCAAAAGGATATGTTATTGTTCACCATAACTGTAACGTGGTAATTTTGTTTTCTCTGTTTCCGTTCTTTATCTCTCCACATGCATAATCTGCCAAAAACTTTCTATTTCTATTACACAGTAAATAAAGAAATGGTTGTTCCAGTTCCATGCTTCAATATGTCCTGGAAAAGTTTGCTTAAAAAAAGCTTGCCTGCATATAAATTAGTTGGGTTGGCAGTATGTTTTAAAATTTATTGTTATGGGTAATTTGAAAATAACTGAAAGGAATACATGGTAATTTTTTGACTGCTGTTGTCATGGGTTTCTGTGGGGTGGATAACTTGAGCAGGAGGGAAGTATTTATGTAGTTTTCTGTGGAAGTTAACTAAACAGTTTGATTTCTTTTTTCAAAATATTTTTCCCCACATAAAAATATGATAAATAATGTTTTTGGAGGTATAGGATATGTTTGTGCTAAATGTTTCCAGGGTATTAGTACTGGAGCTGTAATGTCTCAGACACAGCTACAATACAGTTCTGCTGAGTCCTGCAAACCTGCATGTTTGCAATGAGTTGCATGTCACGGGAATAGATGCTGAGCAGCTACGACTAAACGAGAAAAAAAAAATGTTTGTTTGCATTTGGTTATGTGTGTGTTTGCATACCAAATGTAAAGGTAGCCCTGTGCATTGCCTGTTCCTAACTCCTTTGTATTACAATTGCAATTTCAGCATGAAGAAAAATATTGTTATTTATTTTCCTTCCACACCCATAGTCCCACCTAATTTTAATATATTAAAGAGACATGTCCATCAGAGCTGTTTAAATACTCTTGCAGAAGCATGCTACAGTATGTGGTGTTTGTTTTGGAAAATGTCGTGCATTCATGTTATTTTTCTCACAAACAATTATTTCATCTATGTCGTGTTTAACAATGTTTGACTAATACTTTGTATAATTAGGCAAAGTCATCCACTATATATATTTTACTTCATCATTTAATACAAACATGAGGTAGGCTTAAAGAGTACATATTAGCTTTATTAATATTAATGCCACTATCTGAATTTTTCCTTTCTTGAAGATATAAATTATTTTGCTAATTTCATACTTAATGGCCAGTAGCATATTCAGAATACATATTCCAGTTCTGATGAGATCAAATAGACATGTTCCATGATGTGCATTATGCAAATGAAAGATACATAACTCATTTAAAAAAAACCTATAATGACAGTCAATTATAAATCATTTCATTAGCTTTTCAGCACTGCAGCTTTTGGAAGCTTCATCCATATAATTTGCTGTCTTGTACCTTAATGTATTAACTCCTTTTAAAGACAGTAATGTCTGCCAAATGAAACAACAGAGCATTTTAATTCATGTTTAAAGCAGGCATAGAGCTGTCATATTGCAGCAACACTAATTCAATGCTGAAGACTTCTTTACTACCAGGTATGCATTTTAAATGAAAAAAACAAACATGCTGTTATGAGAAGGCAATACTCACTTGAGGAGGATTCTGCAAGCTCTGTTCTGCTAGTCCACAGACTGAAATGATGGAGCCAGATTTAGAAGTAGCTTATTAGGTGCATGCTGCTTCAACAGTTACAGCTTTTCTTTTTTTTTAACTGAAAGATGGAATCGTTTTCTTTTAATGAAGCCAGCATAAAATGATATGCTGTCCATGTTGCTATGAGAGACTAAACTTGCAGAGCAAAGTCAAGCAATTTCAGAATAACTTATCAAGGGTCATTCCCTATCAACTTGCCACTGCTTTTCCGTGTAGTCACAAACTTTAACAGCATCAAGGAAGATCATAGCATGTCACAAATGCAGGAAATTACTAGTTAGTCATGTTCACTTGAGACTGAAAGTGATTGAGTCAGTATTGTTTGTGAATATAAGCAGAAAACTGGGTAAAGCCAAAATCTTTCAAATTGGAATACCCACTGAATTCTCTTAAGAGGGGACAAGGCTTTGATTACACTCAATCTACAGTACCTGCTACTATCCTATGCTCTGGTGTTTGTATGTTATGTCTAGAGCTCCAACCCTGAGAAAAGAGTGTAGGAACCACACCCAAGGGAACACACAAATGTGAAAAATGTTGTATTTTGTTTTGCCTTTCATATTTTGTGAGAAAAAGTATTTGGCATCACATTTTTTGTGTGTACACAAACCATTACAAATATAAAGACATGCAATTATGGTTATAAAATGATCCACATATATCTATATATTTACTGTATAAAACCACACACAGTATTGGAGTTTTAGTGATGTCAAAACATTGCAATTATAAAGATATGTAATTATGGTTTTAAAATGATCCATATGTATCTGTATATTTATTATATAGAACCATACACAATTTTGGAGTTTTAACGATGCCACCATTTTAAGTATTTAACTCTTTTTGTTAGAAGTCTGCCTGTGGAAAGCCCATCACAAATATGTACATGATGGCCCAATAGTGAATTATATCTGCAGCACTGCATTGCATATATAAATTTAGCCCTGCATTTTGAAACATTCAATTTTGTCTTTTGCCCAAGGATGCTTTCAGATAGAGAGAGACCTCTGATTTGTTTGTCAATTGGAAATTACTCTAAGTAGTCATGTTTTGGCTTATCCTCATTTAGTTTGCCCAAAAGACTGGATCTTTCATCTCTAATGTGGAAACAGGTGAACTGTGCTATCACTCATGCTCTGCATCATTACCTTGCCAGCCTGAGGTGGGAGATGGCCAGTGGTAGCCACACCCCTATGCCTTGACTTGGAAAAAAAAGAGGTGTCAGGGGATAGGGAAGGAGAACTGGTTACAGTAAGTTATTGCACTTCTACTCTTGAGTTCCTATCTGCATCCCAGTCAGAGTGGGCTTGCTCAGGAGCTTCCTCTTACAGCTGTCAGGAGATTTGGGTTTATTCCCACTAAGTTTTGATCATTGAACAATGTGCAAGAACTTGGATGTTCAAGGAGGCAGATCTTCACAGCATCCCAGGGGCAAACTTAACAGCAGCACCTTCCTTCCACTAGAACAAAAAACAGACCTTGCTTCTTGAAAGACCATGATTAATGCCTCTGGACTGACACTGAACTCAAAACTGAGAAGAAAGTTCTGGAACCCATCACTCATTGCTTCTAACAGCTGCAAGGTACAGAAATTGAGCAGAGATTTGTAGCTCATGACTGCTGGTGTCTTCATGAGTAGAATGACTCCTGTAACCATAGCATCTTGTAACTGCATCCCTACTTGTGTTCCCATTTGCTTTAACTATGATATGGAAAATGGCTGCTCTTTATTCTGTTTGGCTTTGTGATTTTTTTGGGGGTTGTGTGCGGGGGGGAAGGTGGTGGTGGGTGGTGGTAGTTTGGTTAGTTGGTTGGTTTGTTTTTTGGTTTAGTTTTTTTTTTTCAAAGCAGCAGGACCGCTGCATGGCTCTGTAACTAGTTTTTCCAAAATAAGATCTTTTGACTAGCAAATTCTTCTCCTCAAGCTCCTTTATATCTGAGAAGCAGACTGGTGAGTTCAAGCCAAATGCAAATAGGTAGTCATTATATGCCAAGACCTCCATGTATGGGAAAGGGAGAAAGACCATTGCATTTCTTTTGAGAAATGGCATTTTTTCCATTGTGACTTGGCATGAGAGGAAAGGAAATTACTTCATTTGCAGACTTTGCTTTAGCCACTGACATGCCTTCAACTGGGAGATCAAAGATCTAAAATGTTGGTCAGCCCTTTGTGCATACCTCTTTTTCCTTTGGATCTTGCAGGTTTAAAAATGTTTTTCCAGGTGTTAGTGGTCAGCTCCAACTTAGTCCAATGGAATCCCTGTTCCAGTTTCCAAATGCAAGTAGGGCAAGGCAGAGGAACTCTTCATTGAACAAAACTTCTGTCATGAACTACAAATAACTTTTTTCCCTACCTCCTTATCAGTTTCTCTATCTTCTTGGTTTGTTTTTCCTTTTGCACACTCTGCTGTGCTGTACCAAACAAGTCTTTCAATTCCTGTCTCTCTTTGAGCAGAGCTTTCTCCTTAATCCATAATCCTATTGTGAAGTCCTGTATAGGACACCTGAAGCTTCTCAGAAGGAATGGCTGGGACAACCACTGAACTTGGAGAACGATACATGATTTATGATCACTAGCCTGGCTGAGAAACATGATCGATTCTAAGTATATCTTACAGAACACTGCTATTTAACCACTCATTCTTTCTCTTTTTAATTTTTTTTTTTTCCACCTTCCTCTTTTCTCAGTAAAATTATTGCTAACAATAACCCCAGCAGCGGTAGGAAAAGAAAAGAAAGCACAGTCAAGGCTCAAATTTGCATTTCAGTAGTAATGTGACTGGAATCTTTGGTCTTGCCCTTTTATGGGATTTGAACTGAATATTTTAAAACTCATCCAATGTGAGGGGCACAGGTCTCAGAATGGTGAGAGAAAAAATGCAGTGAAGCAGATATTTTTAAAAGTGATAGGCAAAAGCAAAAGTCTAGGGCAAGACTGACACCAGTGTTCAGTTGGTCATTGATTGTATAACTTAGCTTGTTGGTAACTTTATATGGACAACATTTTTATTGCATCAAAGAGAAAAAGGATTAAATCTTCCAATACATTCCAGCTCAACTTGAATGAATAGCAGAGATTGCCACAGAAATACTGTTGGGCAACTTCAAGTGTTTTCTAAGTGTTTATGAAGAGTGCATCTATATTGATCTCGGGAAAAACATGTGAAAAAAGTCACAATACTTTAACGATAATAGAAGCTTTGGAAAGTTTAGTGTCTACTGTTGTTATCTTCTTTCAGTGTCACCTTCTTTCAACATCGTGTTTTAAATTCTTGTTATAAATACTCTCATCACCTCAAATCTAGATATAGAATAACCAAAGTTAGAAGCTGGAAAACTGCCCAACACAAAATAAAACATAACTCAAAAAAAGACAGTAGTTTTCACTGGAAAATATTGTTATAGAATGTGATAAATTCTTGAAAATTTGGAATTTTTACTAAATTCCACAGAATCCCAGAATGCATTGGGTTGGAAAGGACCTTAAGGTACACCTTCTACTAGACCAAGTTGCTCAGAGTGCCATCCAAACTGGCCTTGGACACTTGCAGGGATGGGACATCCACAGCCTCTCTGGGCAACCTATTCCAGTTTCTCACCAACCTCATAGTAAAGAATTTCCTCCCAATATCTAATTCAAACCTGCCCTCTGCTATAAGTGTATAAACACACATATATAAATGCAGATACATATACGTGTATCTTGATTTGGAAGGAAATTTATGCTTTAATGGGAAAAATTAAAAACTCCCCTTTTTCATTTGCTTTCTTCCAATCAAGTTATTGCTAAGAGCAAGGCTGCAGTAAGAATATGGATACTGTGTCTGAATGGTATCTCATGGTTTTAAAAGGAGCCTGCATTGTGCTGTCCAGGCATTTTATTTCCTTCCCATATTGAGAGCCTGGAAATGTGTCCTTTAAAAATTTTTCACTGCTATGCCATAGGAAGAATGCCACAAACACAGTAAAGTGGAATGGCCACTTGTCTTTGAATATAGGGTTTTTCATTAAAGTGACCAGCCATTATGGTTAATTCAAGATCTTTAATTTGTCTAGTTTATACTCCCTTCACGGAATGATGTAAGCAGGGAATTTGGAGAAAAAAGCTTACTCAGTCCTTGTCTGTGGGAAGTATTTTCTAATGTTAAGACGCAAAATAACTGAAGGGGCTTGAGAATGGGCATCAGAATCCTTCCTTGACAGTCCAATGACAGTTGTGCAAAATTTCACAGCCCCCAGACCTTAACAGGGAGAGAGAGAGAGAGAGGGCATTGATGTTCCTTTGCTGACTCAAAATCTACAGAGGAATATTGTCAGGGTGCAGTCAGAGCTGGGGGCTCCCAGAGGCAAAGAGCCACAGGGGCTTCCCAGGTGCTGGTGGGGCAGGGTCCTTGACTGCTAGAGCCATGTGTTTGTCCTGTAGTGTCTGTCTATGGTCACCCCTGGGGAAAGTCATACACTGTTGGTGACTGGAGTGGCTTGTTAATAACAGAAGACTTAGGAAGGATTGGTCCTGCAAATGCTTTGTATTGGTGCAGCAGGACTTCTGGACAAACATAAAGTTATCCCTTAAAATTGAAGATCTGGATATTTGCTGAGTTCAACCTCAGTCTACAAATAACCTCAACCGCTCTGAACCTGCATTTCTGAAGAAAAAATAAAAATGCCCAACTAATATCCTGAAGACCTAAGTTGTAACTTGTCTGGGGGGTTATTCAGCCCTCTAAGTCCTCTGAGATTGTTCAGCAAAAACAGTGTGTCTCATCTGGCTGCAGTACTTATCACTGTCACGTGTAATCAAATATGGGGAGAGAAGAGAGAGGATAACCTTGCAAGAGGGGTTTGCTGCAAATTCAGGTAATAGAAAGCAAGTTCCCCTTCGTGTGTGCACTAATCTTTTCTCCCACCACATTTATCATTCTCCACACATAGCCTGCTATCTGCACATCAGTCACGCTCAACTTTCAGCAGCCTGGCTATTGCACACCTACGCACAGATTCCCACAGTCTTCATTCATTTCAGATCTGTGTCATCATCTAAACACCTCTATGGAAACCATGGCATACACAGAAAATTA